TGGTCTTTTCCAATGTGAATGATACCCCCCCACTTCCCTTCAGGGGGCACTGAAATGATGGGGAGCACAGCTGTAGCTTCTTAATGCAATAAGGGGGAATTTTCTGTTTGTTTGCTTAAAGAGTTGCTCGAGCAGGCCCAGTAACATCTCCACTGGAGACTTTGTTGTTACTGTGTTTGGCATATCGAATACTCTCGATAGCTTGCTGGGCTCTCCGAGAGGGGCGGAGGAATCGAACTCGGGCTGGAGCGATAGCACAGCGGGTAGGGCGTCTGCCTTGCACGCAGCCAACATGGCCGACCCGAGTTCGACCTCTCGGAGAGCCCAGCAAGCTACCGAGAGTATTCGATATGCCAGACACAGTAACAACAAAGTCTCCAATGGAGACGTTACTGGGCCCGCTCGAGCAAATCGATGATCAACGGGAGGGCCTTTACTTACTTTGCTTAAAGAAGGTAGATTTCTGGGGCTTGAGTGATAGCATAGCGGGGAGGGCATTTGCCTTGTATGCAGCTTGACCTGGGTTCGATTCCCAGCATCCCAGGAGTAGCCCCTGTGTATTGCTGGGTGTGACCCAAAAAGCTAAAGAAAAAAGAACATAGGTTTCTTAGGGGCCAAGTACTTTTTGAAAAAGGGGTGAGTAGGTCAAATAAATTTAGGAGGCCCTATCTGAAGCAATGAGATTTACTGGTGGATGCTTTTGCCTTCTTTCTGTGCCGTAGCCTGCAAATGTTTTTTTGTTTCAGTGGGGACTATGTTTTTGTCATACACACCAAACTTCCCCAGGAGGCCAAGACTGGGAAGACATTTTGAAATGGGCTGGAGCAATAGCACAGCAGCAGGGTGTTCACCTTGCACCCGGCCGAGCCAGGTTCGGTTCCTCCGCCCCTCTCAGAGAGCCCGGCAAGCTACCGAGAGTATCTCACCCGCATGGCAAAGCCTGGCAAGCTACCCATGAAGTATTCAATATGCCAAATACAGTAACAACAAGTCTCACGATGGAGACATTACTGGGCCCGATCAAGCAAATCGATGAACAACCAGAGGACAGTGACATTGACAGTGACACCAAACTTCCCCAGGAAGCCAAGACCGGGAAGACATTTTGAAAATAGGTCAGAGCAGGTAGGGTATTTGCCTTGTACATGGCCAATCCGGGTTCAATCCCTAGTATCCATATGGTCCCCCACCATCACCAGAAGTGATTCCTAAGCACAAAGCCAGGAGTATCCCCTGAGCATTGCCGGATGTGGCCCAAAATTGGAAGGAAGGAAGGAAGGAAGGAAGGAAGTAAGGAAGGGGAAAGGAGTAGTTTTTGCCAAAGTTCTAAATATAGCCCAATGACAATTGTAATTTAAGAACAAGTGATAGTATCTAAAGTTTAGTTCTAAGTAGTCAGTCTTTTTCAAAATGTACCACTGCTTTAGATGGTGCTTTGAATCGTGTGTGTGTGGGTGTGTGTGTGTCCATACGTGCATGCATGCATGCATACAAACCCAACCTCCATCTGGATGGGTTTTCTAAAACTGCAGAAAATAGTAATTGTGTTATTTTTGGGCTCTTCTACATAAGCGTTTTTATTTTTGGTTTATATCCATGTTTAGGGGCCACAGGTATTTGGGGGGACCATGTGGTGCCGCAAATTGAACTCGAACCTCCTGCAAAGCAAAACATGCACTCCACTGCCTTGAGCACTCTCTCTCTCTCTCTCTCTCTCTCTTTCTCTCTCTCTCTCTCTCTCTTTCTTTCTCTCCCCCCTCCCCCCGCCCTCTTCCCTTCCCTTCTCCCTGCTCTCCCCCAGACCCCACATCATCATTTTATTTTGTGGGGCTAGGGGGACTCTCAAAAAGTGCTCAGAAGGTTTGGGACTCATCTTGGTGATTCTCAGTCAACCAGACCTGAGACTTAATTTAATGCAAGGGCCACAGGATGCCTGTGAGGGCCCAGAGGTGCCAAGGATTACCTGGGCTACCCAAGTAATGCCTAAGGAACTGCCAGGAGTTACAGTAAGATGCGAAGCATGTATTATCTCTCTGCCTTATGTCACTTTTTCTTTGTTTTGGATCCACGCCCATTGGTGCTCAGGACTTACTCCTGGCTCTGCACTCAGGAATCACTCCTGAGTTGGGAGGCCATATGGGATGTCAAGGATCAAAATAGGTCAGCCACTTGCAAGCAGGCAACCTTCCTGCTAAACTATTTACGGCCCCTGTATTAGCATTTTTTTTTACATAAAAAACCTAATTTAGGGACTGGAGTGATAACAGCGGGTAGGGTGTTTGCCTTGCACGCGGCCGACCTGGGTGTGATTCCCAGCATCTTATATGGTCCCCTGAACACCACCAGGGGTAATTCCTGAGTGCAGAGCCAGGAGTAACCCCTATGCATCGCTAGGTGTGACCCAAAAATAAAAAAATAAAAAATAAAACCTAATTTAGCATGCACCTGCCAGGGTTCTGTTTTGGGATTCAAAGATAAATAAGAGAGAATGGTGAAACAGAAAGGACAGTTAATAATTAGGAAGAATCTTTGCCAAGCAACCTAGACATAGAAGTACTCAGACCTTTGTCCTTTCCCTGTGGCATATCTCCTGCCAGAGGCCCACTCATGAATTTGCAGAGGTAGTTTGAACTCCATTTTCTCACTCTCAGGCCCTGTTCTACTGCCTCTTCCTTGACACTAGTCTAGCTTTGTTCTTCATGTGGGAAGTAGATATCAGTTCTAGAATCACCATTAGTTGGTTTCTTTGCCAGTATTTCATCCTCTTTGTATTCATTTCTTAATACAAAGCTCAACCCGCTCCCCTCCAAGGGGCCCCGGAGAGGGCAGCCAGGCATGGGGGCAGGAGACATCTTATTATGACATCTTATTATCTCATTCCTACTTTGGACAAACTGGCAGGCTATTGAATGTAGCCTGCCCACATGGCAGAGTCTGGCAAACTCCCCGTGGCGTACCCAATATGCCAAATACCAGTAACAATGATGGGTCTCATTCTCCTAAAGCGCCTTGAATATAATCTCAGGGTTAGGATGAAAGAGACGTTACTGGGGCCTGCTCGAGGCAATCGACGAATAACAGGATGATTTGTGATTTTGTTGTGTATTCATTTCAGTGAACTGCCTTACTTCATGGAGCATAATTGCAAATGTGTAATTACACAGTTTAAAATTCTTATCTGTTAATTTCAACCTCTGAAATTAACATTTGGGTCCTCTTGGGGTTGGTTGCCCTATGTTATATTATTTCTTTCAAGAGGCAAAGTGATACTTCCCTGCTTCTTCTATTGAATGATTTTAAATTGTGAGCTGAAAAGTAGCTAGAGGGCAAGCAAACAAAACAAAACCCAGCAAACAAACAAAAAGACTTTGTTTTCTAAGGTGTAGTCATTTTTATAGCTCCACAACTAAAATTATTAAAGCCCTCCCTCAAGCTAACAGAACACTAAAAGAAATAAACTCACCATGATATCATCCTTCTCCCCTCCTTGTCACCCACTCCCCCACCTGCCACCACCTTGTTGTTGGCCTACAACCCTTCCGGTGGTTGATTTGGGACAGGAGGTTTGCAGCTCTACTCCGAGAAGTGGCTGGATCGAGTCAGACTCCTCGCAGAAGCAGAACTAGCCCTTTTATTGCATCAGGCCTCTCTCTGGAAGTTTCTTGTTTGCAGTATGAGTTTCAACAGTGAATAAAACTGAAAGTTTGAAAATCCACCATATTTATCCTACTTCTGGCTAATATTCAACTCCTATAGCATCACTTCCTATCTTATTCTGAAAATGAGTGGGTGGTAGGGTTCGGGTCACCCCTGGTGCTTCTCAGGGCCTACTTCTGGCTCTGTGCTCAGGATGCATGCTGTCACCGTGGTCGGCCATATGCAGGGCACGTGCCTTAAGCACTGTCCTATCTCACCAAGCCTAACAACACCTGTAAGTCCAGTCTTTATTATAAACACCCCCAAAGACAGACACCTTTCCCCTTCCCCTTAAACTACTAGGCTTATCCCCTGCTCAACTTCCCAGTACTTCTTTGTCCCAGTCTCTGCCATGGCTAAATTTTAACAAAACTCCTTGTTAGATGTGGCTAAATGTTGGGTTCATTTCATGAACATTTCAAATGGGTATTTGGGGTGGTAGAGACTTATAAAGCTCAATCTGCAGCTGTGCCTTTGACTTTGGATTGTGTTCAGCTGGTTTGGCATCTGCCTCGATGCTTGCCGCATTCGGGAACTGGGCTGGGAAATGCCATCAACTGTGACCATCAGAAGCTGCCCTCCCCTGCTAAGGAAAGATGCAGGAAGAGTGAGGTGCTAAGTGCTGTGTGCTCAAGTGTGAGGATAACCCGAGGAACTGTGGTTTGTGTGTGTGATGAGAGACTGGGGGCATCCTACAGCAAGAGTAGATGCTGGTGCCCGCTACTGGCCATTGCAGAGGCAACCTTTGGATTTTCCTTGAGTATACCTCTAGCTCCAGAGCTCAAAGACATGCCCCCAACTTTCCATGTGTAATTTTTTATTGGGTGAGAGATAAGAGAACCCCCTCTGAGGAGCAAATTTGGAAGACGTTTGCTTATGCCAAAATAGAGTGAACATTTTGAGTTAGCACATTCCCCAGTCTAGTCTGTAACCCACTTGTGCATCACCTGCATTTGCCCTACACTCTTAGAGGAGGAATGAGAAAAAAGGGATGGGTGTTGGCCGCAGGAGCAATAGTATAGAGGGTTAAGTTGCTTTCTTTGCATACAGTCAATCCTTGACTCTGTTCCCAGAACTACATGTGGTCCCCAGAGCTCCTCCAGGAGTGATCCCTGAGCACTCTCCCCACCCCACCAGACCTCCCCCCAAAAAGAAAAGATAAAGACAGGGATCAGGGAAGTAGCTGAAGGGCTGGAAAATATGCTTTGCATGCAAGGATACCAGATACAATTGAAAAACAAAAATGGAGCATTACTCTTTACTTGTCTCTTTTGTCTAATTCACATTTTTTTTCCCTTTTTCAGAGTCAACAAAGCCCCTTGCAACTCTTGATCCCCGCTCGTTTATATTCCGGAATTCTGAAGATCAATTTGAATCTATCCCACTGGATGCCTATGAGGAGAAAAATGAAAGCAGGTTCCCAGCCAGAACGAGCTTCAACATAAGCAGTGCTCTCGGGAAAGAGCCAGCTCCCTTCATCTCCAATGCCGCCTCGGGGTACCTCACCAGCACCTGGCTGACGCGCTTCATCCCCTCCGTCTATACTGGCGTGTTTGTCATCAGCCTCCCTCTGAATGTCATGGCCATCGTGGTGTTTGTCCTGAAAATGAAGGTCCAGAAGCCCGCAGTGGTGTACATGCTACACCTGGCCACGGCTGACGTGCTCTTTGTGTGTGTGCTGCCCTTCAAGATAAGCTACTACTTTTCGGGAAGTGATTGGAAGTTCGGGTCCGAGATGTGCCGCTTCGTCACGGCCGCCTTCTACTGCAACATGTACGCCTCCATCCTGCTCATGACTGTCATCAGCATCGACCGCTTTCTGGCCGTGGTGTACCCCATGCAGTCCCTCTCCTGGCGCACGCTGGGCAGGGCTTCCTTCACCTGCGTGGCCATCTGGGCCGTGGCTGTGGCCGGGGTGGTGCCGCTGCTCCTCAAGGAACAGACTCTCAAAGTCCCGGGACTCAACATCACCACCTGCCACGATGTGCTCAGCGAGTCTGTGCTCGAGGGCTATTACACCTATTACTTCTCTGCCTTCTCCGCTATCTTCTTTTTTGTGCCGCTGATCATTTCCTCCGTCTGTTACGTGTCTATCATTCGCTGCCTGAGCTCTTCCACGGTTCCCAACCGGACCAAGAAGTCCCGCGCCTTGTTCTTGTCAGCTGCTGTCTTCTGCATCTTCATCGTCTGCTTTGGACCCACCAACATCCTCCTGATTCTGCATTACTCCTTTTTCTCTCTGCATGCCACCGCGGAGACTGCCTACTTCGCCTACCTTTTGTGTGTCTGTGTTAGCAGCATCAGCTGTTGCATTGATCCCTTGGTTTACTATTATGCTTCCTCCGATTGCCAGAGGTACCTCTACAGTATCTTGTGCTGCAAAGAAAGTTCTGACCCTAGCAGTTACAACAGCAGCGGTCAGCTGATGGCTAGTAAGATGGATACCTGCTCTAGTAACCTGAATAACAGCATTTATAAGAAGCTGTTAACTTAGGAAATGACTCTGCTGGTGAGTTAGAAAGAGGAGACTGTGGGGGGAGAAATGAATTATGAAGATCCTGCTAGTCTCTGCCAAAAAAGTATTTGCTTCACCACCTATAACAGCAAATATATGTCATGCATGCCTCCAATAAGCATATATATATTCATTGGTTATAAGAAAACATAGCAGCTATAGAAAGCAGAGAGGATTGTCAGTGCCACCATAATAACTCATACCATTTCTGATATACGTAGTTGCTTATTTTCTACATAAATGTGATGTATAAATAGGTGTATGTATACCCTTGAATTGTTCACATTGCGGTTTAGACCAGGCACTTTGCCACCCTCTTATTTGCCCGCACCGTTGTAGGAAAAAACTCTGATTCTTTGATTTCATACAGAGTTTAAGTTGGTGAAGTTTAATATCTGAAAACGCTAATCAGTAGGGAGGGATTCTGTAGCTTGGACTCATATAGCTTCTGCAAATATATGTATTTTGAAAACCTTCAGTGGCAGTGTTTAAGTTATTGAGGGAGAAGACAATATTCTTTGCAGAAAAACATGATTTTTTCATTTTAAATATATCAGTGATTGAGTTCTTGAAATTATGGAAACAGGATATGGAGAGCAATTTTTGCTGTTTTACACGGTGTATATATAGAACAAAGCATCCATCTCATGGGGGACCTTAGGTTGACTTTCCTAGTAAATCGCCCCTGGAAGAAAGACTCCAAGCAAGGGGCCCAAGGCAGGGCCGTGTGGGACCCCTGCACTGGAGCCTCCCAGTGAGCAGGGCATCTGCACCCCCACAGCAACTTATTCCTCCTGGGGGAGCCCCTCAGGAGCTGACTCTGAATGGATGATGCTTTTTAGAACTTGGCGAGACAGGCGGCAGTTTCCCAGAAGATGGCAAATACAGAAAGATCCAACTTGAATGACTGTAAAATGACCCACTTTTCAGACTGGAAAAGTGTTTCATTTCCAGCAGTTTTCCTTCTCATGGACACATCCAGACCTGCCACGTGCTTTCTTGCTCCCTTGAAGGCCCACCCTCATCAGAATATTCCTCATCTTCACTGGGCATGGAATAAGGTGCAGAGCTGCCCTCATGAAGAACAGAGTACACTGGGACACAGAGGGTGAGATTAGTACAATAAATATAATATAAAAAATGTTTTTAGTCAGATGTCCACATGCATATTTCAGACCTCTTGGCCTGACTGTTGACAATTTTGAACATGTGGGTTACTGATTCCTGTGGTTTTAACCAGAGAAGAAAACATAATTTAAAAACTATATCTAAAATTTAGCCAGGGGCCAGAGCAGTGGTACAGTGGGTAGGGCATTTTCCTTGCATGCAGCCCACCCAGGTTTCCCCCTGGCATCCCATATGCTCCCCCAAGCACCACCGGGAGTAATTCCTAAGTGTAGAGCCAGGACTAACCCCTAAGCATTGCCAGATATGACCCCGCCCAAAAAAAGCCATAAAATTTAGTCATTCCACCTATATTTAGTGAATGCTATTCAATTATAAATGGTTATTAGTGGTTTGAGGATCACTCAAATGAGGATTTTTTTTAAATCAATTATGTCAATCTGATTAAAAGTAGACTGTAGCACTGTCCTCCTGTTGTTCATCAATTTGCCCTGATTAAAAGTATTAGTAGAAAATTGAATTTGAAATCTATAAAAATTATCCTATAGTTTGGCTAGGTATAGTGGTAAAGTGACTTGCCTTGCATGTGACTGTCCCTGGTTAGATCTCTGGCACTGTATATGGTCTCCCAGCAGTACCAAGGGGCAGTCGCTCCAGGGCATGGCTAGGTGTGGTCCAAACCCTGCCCCCACCAAAAAAAAAAAAGTAAGAAAATTACTTTATACTTTTTATTCAGCTTTCTTAAGAATTATGAGATAATTTGAAGAACATTTTTTAACCCAAGACAGTATCCTCATGTATTTAACAAATAATTTGAAAACTAGATGGACAATGTAGAGAGCTTAAGGTGCTTGCCTTCTGCATACCTGTCACTGGTTCATCTTGAGCATCACGTATCGTTCCCGGTGCCTCACCAAGAGTGATTTCTGAGCTGAGAGCCAGGAGTAAGCCCTGAGCACCATTGTGGGTGTCCTAACCTGCCCAACCCCTTCCCCAAATAACAAAAAGGGGAAAAAATAAAATTAGATTGAAATAAATCGTTTTAAACACACACAAACTAGTAAAAACTTGCAAGGCAAATATTTATTTAAAAGAGCAAACTATTTCCAGCTACCATAAAATAATTTACATATAAGTATGAATCATAAGTAGGACTTAGCTTTGATTTTAAAAAAATTTGGGGACTGGAGTGATAGCACAGCAGGTAGGGCGTTTGCCTTGCAATGCAGCCCAACCAATTCCCAGCATCCCATATGGTCCCCTAAGCACCGCCAGGAGCAATTCCTGCGTGCAGAGTAACCCCTGTGCATCACCAGTGTGACCCAAAAAGAAAAAAAAATTACACTTCACTTTATCCAACTCTGGAGATTTATTGTTATTATTTAGTTCTCCGTGTTAAAATACCTCTAACTTAATATGACTATTACTACTGTACTGTCAGTCTGTACCTATAAAATACAATGTCACTGTTTTTATGAAATGTATGTAACTTGTATTAATAAACATGAAAGATTGCTTGGTATCCAAAGTAAATTTTTACTGTCTCTTTCAGGGTTGTGACAGGAAGGCCCCATCTAAAAGTTTTGCAGATGAGTGTTTAATGAGGAGGTGATTCGAAGAGATATGGGCAGAAAAGGAGAGAGAGAACAAAAGAGAATGCCCTGCCACAAAGGCAGGGTGGGATGGGGAGATGGGGGGTGGGAGGGATACTGGGATCAGTGGTAGTGGAAAATGGGCACTGGTGGAGGGATGGGTATTTGATCATTGTATAATTGAAACCCAAGCACAAAAATTTCTAAGTCTACAACTGTACCTCATGGTGTTTTCACTAATAAAAATTTTAAAAAAACAAAAGGAAGAAATTGGGCAGGATTGATCAAGGGATCAATAGCAATAGCAGGAAGCTGCTAAGTGCCCTCTGTCTCCTGATCATTTGATTGGTTCCTTCCATTACTCCTAGAACTAAAGGGAACCTGGGTAACTAGTCCATACGGGTCAGCTGCTTGGGACATGAGAATAGATAAGAAGAAATCAGGTAGAGGGACCCTAGAACTGGTCTTTAACAGAAAGCATGTTACTGTGGGGAGTCGGGGGTAGAGAATTGGGAGGTGGGGGTATGGGGACACTGGGACATGGGAGAGGGAAGAACTTTCTGGTGGAGGATGTGGTGTTGGAATGGGTATTTTGGTTTGGGGGTTGTTTGTTTCTTGAAAACCTGCTATTATCAGTATTATAAATCATGGTGCCTAAAATAGAATTTAAAATAAATGTTTCCCAAAAAATTTAATCCCTAAAAATTTCAAGATTGTATCTTTGAGAAGATGTTTTGATTTCCGAGTTATAGGCATCACTTGCCAGTAACTAGACAGTTACACCCACCAACTGCCGTGTAACTCCAACAACGGCCAGGATCCAGAGATTATCACACTCAGCTCCCGGGAGAGAACAAGGCAGAGTCTCCTACCCTGTGCCTGACTGTTTCCACCAGGGCCCAACAGCTGAAGACCTCCGGGGCCCAGCCAAGGCCATGCTGGGACCACTCTCCACACACTTGGATGAGCCTCACGCATAAAAGAACTGGCAGAGGAACCCAGGTGTGTGGGACCCGGGGCTGAGATCTCCAAGCCTGTACAGTTTGGGACTGGACCTGCCAGTAACTAGACAGTTACACCCACCAACTGCCGTGTAACTCCAACAACGGCCAGGATCCAGAGATTATCACACTCAGCTCCCGGGAGAGAACAAGGCAGAGTCTCCTACCCTGTGCCTGACTGTCTCCACCAGGGCCCAACAGCTGAAGACCACCGGGGCCCAGCCAAGGCCATGCTGAGAGTACTCTCCACACACTTGGATGAGCCTCACGCATAAAAGAACTGGCAGAGGAACCCAGGTGTGTGGGACCCGGGGCTGAGATCTCCAAGCCTGCACGGTTTCGGACTGGACCTGCCAGTAACTAGACAGTTACACCCACCAACTGCCATGTAACTCCAACAACGGCCAGGATCCAGAGATTATCACACTCAGCTCCCGGAAGTGGCCGCGCGACATCTTATTATCTCATTCTTACTTTGGATAAACTGGCAGGCTACCAAATGTAACCTGCCCACACGGCAGAGTCTGGCAAACTCCCCGTGGTATATCCAATATGCCAAATACCAGTAACAATGATGGGTCTCATTCTCCTAACCCTGAAAAAGACTTGAATATGGCACTTTAAAAAAAAAAATCTCAGGGCTAGGACGAAGAAGACGTTACTGGCACCTGCTCGAGGCAATCGACGAACAACAGGGTGGTCGTGATCGTGATCGTGAGACATCATGGATAGAATTTGCAGTGATTTTCCTAGTGAAGAGAGAAATTAAATAGCTCAGTCAAGAGACCCAAAGAAGAGTTACACAGAGTCCTGAAGTTGTGTTGCCATTGAACCCCCCGCCCCACAACCCCAGGCTAAGGCAGTTAGAGGAATTTAAAGTAAAAGACCCTGAGAGTTGTAAACTGGTTGTTTTTTTTCTTTTTGGATCACACCTGGCTATGCTCAGGGGTTACTCCTGGCTCTGCACTCAGGAATTACTCCTGGCAGTGCTCAGGGGACCATATGGGATGCTGGGAATCGAACCCGGGTCGGACGCGTGCAAGGCAAACGCCCTACCCATTATGCTATCGCTCCAGCCCCATAAACCAATTTTTTAAAAAAAGATAATATACTTCTAGGGTCACATCAAACTGAAAACTTTTTTGAACTAAACCAGAATTCAATTAACACAGAATGTTTGCTTTTTCCATGACCATACCCCACAGTGCCGGGGGGGGATGTGCAAGTTGGGGGTTGAACCCAAGGTGTCATGCCAGGGGCTGGATAATACAGCGGGTAGAGCATTGTTTGCCTTGCATACAACCCACCCAGGATTGTTTCTCAGTACCCCTGAGCAGCCAGGAGTGATCCATGAGCTAAATGAACCCTAAGCACTGCTGGGTGTGCCCCCCAAAAAAAAGTTCTCATGTCAGACACATGGTCTACGCTTGAGTTATATCCCCTGCCCTAACACAGTTTTCAAAATAACACACAGAGTCTTCATGTATTTCAGACCTAGGATCCAGAGCAATAGTACAAGGGTCAAGGCACTTGTCTTGCATGCAGCTAACCCCAATTTGATCCCCGACATGACACAGATCTCCCCAGCACTTTCAGAAGTGGTCCCTTAGCTCAGAGCCAGGACTGAGTCCTGAGCACCACTGAGTGTGGCCCCCCAAGCCCCCCAGATAATTATACATAAATTTGAGTCTTGGCATTCAGGACGTTGAATGAAGTCATCCAAGTTCATGCCACCAGAAATAGAACCCCACCCCACTCCCTGCCCTCACTCAAACCAGAAAGTGACCTTTAAACTCATTTCTCAAAATAGGTTTGAATTTAAAAAACACGCTTGAATATTTTTTAACACAAAAATGTTTGGGGGGGGGGCGCTGGAGCAATAGCACAGTGGATAGAGTGTTTGCCTTGCACATGACCGACCCAGGTTCAATTCTCAGCATCCCATATGGTCCCCTGAGCACCGCCAAGAGTAATTCCTGAATGCATGAGCCAGGAGTAAGTAATCCCTGTGCAAAGCCAGGTGTGACCCAAAATACACACACACAAAAAAAAAGTTTGGATTTTTTTTTAACCAAGTTTAAGCAGCAGTTTTAAGGAACTGGAGTATTTGACTGTTGAATATTCCCATGGAAAATTTTAGGTTGTACTCCTGAATTGAGGGAATGAAAAAAAAATGTTGGTGTGTCCTTTAGGAAGTCTGTTGTGAGAGCAAGTGGGCGAACTAAAATTCCTAAGTTTCTCAGGCCAGGATCCTCTGCTCTATACCTTGGCACAGGTGGAAATTCAGACAAGAAAGAGTGGAGTCTTCACAGAAAATTCCTGACAACACCGATATGGCTGTGGCTAGTCCCCCTAGAAATTACTAGACCAGGATACACAAAGAGTTGTATAATTGGAATCATTGTATTTTGTTGTTACTGTTGTTGTTTTTAATATGCACAGAGAGCAACTGATCACAAGATAAACCAAATTGTCTTATATAATAACAGTGCCCTTTTAAGTTCTCTGAGCAGACACAAGAAATATTAAAAAAAAAAAATCGAATCCAATCATCCTGAGTCTCTGAAGTTCTTTAAGGATACGTAGAGGTCAAAACTATCTTAAAACATTAAGGGGCCAGAGAGTCTAGCAGGTAAGGCACGTGCCTTGCAGGCAGCCAATACCACTTCAGTCCCCAGCACTGCATATGGTCTCGTGAGCACCACCAGAACTGACCCCTGAGCACTGCCAGGTGTGACTCAAGCCTTCTACCCCCCCAAAAGTAAACAGAACATTAAGAACTTGGTCTGATTCTCTCAGGGACATGCAAAAGTTTTCCAAAGTAAGTTTTGCTCAATTTTACATGAGGAGACACTATGATGGGTTGAATGCAGAGGTAGATTATAACTTTTTAAAATTAAAATGCTATTAGAGAGATCTGCGTATATCTAAAATGATGTAATTGAGAGAGAGCAGGAAGGAAAGTGCTTTCCATAGAGGGAGGTTGGGGGTGGGGGGGTTAGGGGATGGTGGTGGGGAAATGGGGTACGTTGGTAGTGGGAATGTACACTGGTGGAGGGATGAGTGCTGGATCATTATACGACTGAAACCCAATTATGAACAGCTTTTTAATGGTCTATCTCACAAATATCAAATTTTAAAAAATTTAAAAAGTAATGTGGAGTTCATGCCCAATTCAATCAGCTTAACTGGTGGCTGAATAAATAGCAGTACTCCTACACTTAAAAAAAAAATGATGCAATTCCGGGCTGCAGCAATAACACAGCGGGTAGATATTTGCCTTGCATGCAGCCAACCCAGTTTGATCCCTGGCACCACAAGCAGCCCCCCACCCCCAGCTCTGTCAGGGGTTAAGTTCTAGGCACAGCTGGGTGTGGCACAAAACCAACACAAAAGAAAATAAAGTTCCAATTGTTGGAAGAGTTGGCTGGAAAGCTCCTCAACAGGGTTTGGAAATAGCCTTTCAAGCCTGAGATCACTAGTTTAATTTCTTGCACCATCCCACGAACTCTTAACAAATCCCCAGGTCACTTCCACTGGGATCCTTGGCATCCCAACAAAAGTGCATCCTCCTCCACGAAGGAGTGTGTGTACAAGCTCTGCAAGTGTGTGGGATGGAATTCCAGACTTCCTGTCATGGGGACTGTGGACTGCATGTTGGTCTTCTGGAAACTTACCATACTGAGATCAAACTGGGCAGCATCTTGGAATTCAGAGAACAGCGTGTTTCAGCCCAACTGGCTGTGCTGTCATTTGAGGAAATGACTCATTCAGAAGCACTAGGAGCTAGGACAGCTGCATGTACAGTCACCGGCGGTAAGACTGTTTTGTCCATTTTAATGACCACAAAATTGGCTCACAAGTGACCCAGGGAATGAAAACTTGCACAAAAATGGGACGGTCAATAATTAGATTACCT